ATAGCATCTATGCAGAATCTTTAGACACACTTCTTGAATCTTATTTGTTATGAAATATTTTCTCGGTAACAACCAAACATTTTCCCTTCAGATTTCTTTAAATATATTATTCAAAAAAAAAAAATCAGAAGCAGGTTTACTAATACAGTCCCTTATCAGATATCTAATAATTGTTTTTAACTTAAAAAAAGAATCAGAGTTCCCAATATATAAAATTTCACCTCCTCGCGCAGACATTAGCCAAGAAAAGTGTAATTGACAAAAGTCACGTGACCGCACTACGGGAACGGGCACAGCCAGCACGAGAGCGAATGAGAAGGGGAGAAGGGGGAGGAGAGAGAGAGAGAGAGAGAGGGAACAGCACAGAGGTGGTGTGTGTGAGTGGAGGGATAGAAGGAGAAGAGAGAAAGACATGAGAAAACTAGCAGCAGGCTCGGAGCACGCCGTACCATGCGAGCGAACGCGCAGACCGGTGGGCTCGAGGATGTCGGATTAACGGTGACCGCCGCAGCCCGGTTTCTCACAGGAAGCTTCTCTACCGCAACTTGGGCGCAGAGGGTCCGCGGGGAAACATGGCCGAAGGTGATTCTGCTCTTATTTCTGTGATTTGATTTGATTTTTTTCCCGGCTTCCCTGTTGTTTTGCTGTGTGTGTGTTCTCTGGGGGAAGGAGGCAACGTGATTATTTTAAACCTTCGTCTCAAAAAGATGAAAAAAAAAAAAAAAAAAAACCCGAACCGCTAGTTTGCTTCACGCGCACACCGTGTTGTTTGGCCACATAAAGGCACGCGGAGCGAGGTGTGTCCTGTAGTAAAAGCTCGAGGAAGCACACCTGCAGCCCCACGACACGACGCAGAGCCACGAAGCGCGTGGGTTCACGCAGCTCCACGCGCCCGGTGACCATTATGATGTCAGAAAGTAGTAGAGTAGAAAATTTCCACCGTCCGTGAACTTCACATCACAATAAAGCGATTTTTTTTATGTTCTTTCAACTTATTATATTTATTTTTTTTCGTTAAAGTGTTAAAACTGTTGTTGTGTGTTAATTGTTTTCAGGAGGGGAGGGTAAAGGTGGCGGAAGAGACCCCGTCACCGAGCAGGAGGAGGAGGAGGAGGAGGAGGCGAAGAGGGGGCCTCGACCCCAACAAGTCCTGTCGGGTTCGGGCTTCTGCAAATGGTTCAACGTCCGGATGGGTTTTGGTTTTATCTCAATGACCAGCAGCGGGGGGAGCCCCRTCGAGCCCCCTCTGGATGTTTTCGTCCACCAAGTAAGTTTAAAGCCAATAACGATGCGACGAATAGTCGATTAATTTCAACTTAATCGGCCTAAATTGTGGACAAAACGCCACTTTAATCACACGCTGGTGCGTTCAGGGTTTCTTGTTTCACCGGTTACATTGCCCGGATGTTTTGCATTGCCCAACATGTTACTGTGTAATCACACGTTGTCCACGGTCTTAAAGGAGGAAAAAAAAAAGTTTCCTCTTTGGGCCACATGTATCAGCTCTCCCCGCCCTCTGCTTCCCTCTGCACACACACTGTTGTGTGCCTCTGACACTAGTTTCACACTCATGGACAAACATCTATACACAACACTTTAATGAAACACAAAAATAAGCAGCTTTGTGTGTGTATCCTGTGCTGTTTATAACAACTTCTTTCCCCTCATGAAGCTGAGGCCTGCTCCCTGCCACACGTCCCTGTGATTTATTTTTCACTTCAGAGGCCTTGTTTTATCCCACAGCAAAACAAAAAGCATGAAGACCCCCACTCAACCCCCCCACGGTTTCAGTTTCTCTGCCTGTTAAATCGTACCTTTTACAGTCCTGCAAAGTGGCGTTAAAATCCTCGGCGAACAGAAGAAGAGATGTTTTCCTGTTCCTGTCGTCGTCGTGTGCTCAGGAGATGTTGTGCAGATCTGACTGCAGAAAAGAAAAACMGTTTCTGTCACGTTTGTCTGAACGGTTGGTCTTATTTTGAAATGTTTTGCTGAAAAAAAAAGAGGGTATTTTCCGCTCTGCAGCTTTCAGATGAATGTTGGGTCTTTAAAGCTGCTCAGCTCAGTGATAATATATTTAAAAAACATAATCTAGATGTGGCTGATCACATGTTCAATATTTGCTGAACTTTATTTTGGTTTAATAACGGAAAAAACAGCTCAAGTTTTCTATAAAACAATTAATATTTAAAGCAAATCATGTTTACTTTATTTAGATTGAACTGCAGCTGATTTAGAGTTAATTCGAATTATATTTTGGATCAAATTCGACTGGATTGACTTGATTTGTGTTTAGATTTTCTATTTGTTGTTTTGTTTATTGCGATACGAGAACCGTTATAAAGCAGCAGCAAATAAACAAGCTGAATTAAATTGCAGCTTGTCCTTACATTCATAGTTTATTTCCGATATTTATATGTTTTCCTGATATTTCAATCCAACACGTATTTGCAAAAAATTTACTCTAAATATAAATAAATTCAGGAAACAAAAAGTTATTTAATTTTGCTGATTTTAATCACAGCTGCTTTTCATCATATTTAATATTTTTCTCTCATGCGAGGTTTTTAAAGTCCTTATTTTTGTAATTTCGTTAGTTTTAGAAGTGTTTTCAATCTAATAGTTTGTAATCGTTGCACAGGATATATCTGATTCTATGCACGTGAAACAGAAAATAGTTTTTAGTCTTTTAATATAAACTCGAGGATCAGATCGCTCCATCGTTGCAACAATACATTATTGATACTTTATTGTGATTCCGCCAACTGAGCTGCGTCTTAATGCACAGAGATGCTTCGGAAGTGGATCGGATTTGCAAAGGTGAAGGAAGAGCTGAGTCGGGTCAAATAAATTCGTCTGAATCAGCAGTTTTATAACCTGTATCACAGCTTGGGCTGCTGTCGAATACAGCTGCTGTTAGCGCTTCATTTTCATGGTATAATTAAGAGGAAAAAAAACGATGCTAAATATCTCACCAGTGTATTTTTTCATCACCGATTTGGTCATCCAGCATCGTTTCCATGATAAGAGATAATAATCAATCAGCCGATTGATTAATTGGTCGATATTTGCCTTTTTTTGAGCCGTTGTCGATACTGATAGCCAATCGCTAAGCGGGAAAATAAAGATGCAGCCGCTGATAGCTCGGCGTTTGAAGCAAGAATGCACGTCTACATAAACGTATTAAAGTGACGAAATTCTCCCAAGTGTTGTTGAAAAATTAGGTGTAAACAATTATGTTTTTGCAGAATGAAATAAACCTCAATCCCTCAGATTTATAAAGATCTGTGTTTAAAAAAAACACATCAGAGACGATCACTGTTTTGCTTTCAAAGAATTGGTTACACCAAAAAAAAAGACATTTAAATTTGTAAATAATGGTATATTTTGAGCTTACTTGTGTGTTATAACAATATTTTTTATATATTAACAATATTTGTTATTTATTTGAGTAGCATGCGATAAATGACATTTCAATCCCCGTGTTTTCAGCTGTGTGTTTACGATAAGACGGCACAAAAGGAAGACGATGTGCGTTCATAAGCAAATCGTTATATTGAACTCAAAACAGCCCATTTCCTTGAGGATGCATGTGCACACTCATTAAGACATTCATGTTTTTTTTTTCTTGCTCCCCTACATCCCTTCTGCCAGCAGCTCAAAGCTACATGGATGATCTTTCCWGGTGCGCTGGAAATGCTCAGATTTGAGAGAATCGATTAAAAACGTAGTCGTTTATGTTCGACGCTGCGAAAACATTTGAAGTTTTGTTTTTAGGAGGAAAAGAATCTGGAGGTCGGGCTGTTTCTGTCTGGATGGAGGCGTTTCAGCTTGGTGTGCTAACAGAGGGATTATAT